AGCCTAGACACAAGGGGGTTGGCCTAGGTCCTATCCCAAAGACTTTGAAGACCCCCTATGGAGGGCCTCACCCCCCTGGAGAGCAGAAAGGGTATGGGATAGGTAGGGCATTAGTTGGGGACGGGGCAGGGGAGAAGGGGAGGGAGAGGGACCTGGAATTGACATGTAAAAATAATTTTCTTTCTAATTAAAAAAAAGGAGAAAAAATAGAGGAAGCTATCCTATATAGAGAAAAACAGAGTATGCAGGAGAAAGGGGAAAGTGCTAGAAATTCAGTTTCTTTTTTGAAATAGTTTTTTTTTTTTTTTTTTTTTGGTTTTTTGAGACAGTGTTTCTCTGTGGTTTTGGAGGCTGTCCTGGAACTAGCTCTTGTAGACCAGGCTAGTCTCAAACTCACAGAGATCCGCCTGCCTCTGCCTCCCAAATGCTGGGATTAGGCGTGCGCCACCACCGCCCGGCTTAAATACATTTTTAATGATTTATTTGCTCTTATTTTATGTGCTTTGTTTATTTTATTTATTGGTGTTTTGCTTGCAAATATGTCTGTATGAAGGTGTCAGATCTCCTGGAACCGGAGTTACAGACAGTTGTGAACTGCCATGTGGGTGCCAGGAATTGAACCCAGATCCTCTAGAAGAGCAGCCAGTGCTCTTAACCACCGAGCCATCATCTCTCTCCAGCCCCTAGAAATTCACACATATGCAGACCATATCTGGGCATGGAAGCTCACAGTAAGTGAAGCTGCACCCTGTGAGTGAATGGTAGGAGAAAGCTGATTTACTATCTTGTGCCTACAAATAATTGGGTGTGTTCATATGATTCCACTCAGACACATCACAGTAAGGGGCACGAGCAACCTAGCAAAGCTTATGTAAATTGTCAATTAAAATAGAAAACCACCTAAATCACATCTCTTCCCACCTAGCTCCCCTTCCTTTAGATCCCATAAAAGAAGGCTCAGGCAATAACCTGGAACCTTTGACCACTTTGACCCAAGGAGGCTCACTCGCTGTCTCTGGCAGCATTTGTAGGCTGAGCTGTCACCTTACCTTTGACTAAAGCTTCCTGTCTGTTATGATTATTATTTCTTTGATTTTTAAAATTAATATAATTACAACATTTCCCCCTTCTCTTTCCTTCCTCCAGAACCTTCCACATATTACTCCTTGCTCTCTTTCAAATCCATGGCCTCTTCTTGCATCAACGGTTGGTTGTTACCTGCATATATGCATATACATATTCCAAAATATAACCCGTTCAGTCTGCATAATATTATTTACACTTATGTTTTCAGAACTGACCGTTTGGTATTAGGTAACCGATTGCTTTTCTCTTCTCTAAGACTGTTTGTTCTACTCTCGGCATCCCTAGGAGCCTGTAGTTCTTAGTGTGGGTTGAGACCCCTGTCTTTCCCCCATGTACTTCTGTCTGTTGTTGCTGTCCTCGTTCAGCTCGTGTTTGGCCGGTCATGTTGGTGAGACTTTATGGGAGCCGCCGCTGACATTCGTAGGAGACAGTAAACTCTCATCCTGTGGCTCTTACAATCTCACCACCTGTTCTCCTGAATGTCCCCTGAGACTTAGGTTCAGGAGTTGTTTTGTCGATGTGTCTACCCGAACTGGGCTCCTGATGATATAGTTCAATCTGTGTGCACCTTTTTTTCAATTTTTTGAGTAAGACTTCAGGAACCCGAATTGCCTCATTCGGACACTGACCATTGGAAACAGTGACACAGCCTCTAGCCAAGAACTGAGACAGTAGGGTTGATGTAAGTTTGAGGTCTCAAAAACAAAACAGGGCCTAATGATATGACTTTCTCACATATAAATAGATAGATAAAAATAAATGTAATTTAAAAATTATTAAGAGTCCGGTGGAGGTTCATGCCTTTTAATCCCAACACTTGGGAAACAGAGGCAGGTGGATCTCTGTGAGTCTGAGGCCAGCCTGGTCTACAGAGTGAGTTCCAGGACAGCCAAGGCTGTTACCGAAAGAAACTGTCTCTAAAAATAAAATAATAATAAAATAAAGGCACCTGCTGTCAAACTTGATAGCCTCAGTCTGGGTCCTCAGGATCCACTGGTAGACAGAGAGAACTAATCCCCCCCACAAGTTGTCTTCTGATCTTGGCATGTCCACGTGCACACATACACACACACACACACACACACACACACACACACACACACACACACACACACAAGTTGGGGGGGCAAGAATGAAGAAAGATAATGGGATGCAGGAAAAATAGACAATGTTCACAAAAGCCTCCCTTCTTTCAATTAATTTATTCATGGCAGAGATGAATTTATTCATAGGAGCCCTTAACAGAGGCAGTCAGCAACACAGCAGTTTTGTGCACTGTTTATATTCCAGATGCTTAGAATGCTGTTTCACTTAGTGGGGAAGAATGAACTGAAGTGCCCAGAGCGAATATATCTTGGGTCTAGCTGGAGTGGTGGAAATGAGGATAACACAGCAAGCATTCACTAAATGCTTCATAAATGTTGAGAACAGCGTAGTTACTGGGGACTCTTGGCCTGCCTCTTCCTTATTTATTTGTTGTTTGTTTATTGCCTCCCGAGTGCTGGGATTAAATGCTTGCGCCACCAATGCCTGGCTCACTCTCTCTCTCTCCTCTCCTTCCTTCCTTCTTCTTCTTCCTCCTCCTCCTTTTTCTTTTTTCCAAGACAGGATTACTCTGTGTATAGCCTTTGCTGTCCTGGCACTCACTCTGTAGATCAGGCTGGCCTTGAATTCAGAGATCCACGGGCCTCTGCCTCCCGAGTACTGGTGATTAAAGCTGTGTGCCACCACCACCTGGCTGGCATATTCTTAATTGATGTTCCCTCCTCGAAGATGACTTCAGCTTGTGTCAGATTGACATAAAACTGCCCAGCACACCCACCAAATTGAGATGAATGTGTGATGATGTGAAGCCACGTGGTGGTGGCACACGCCTTTAGTCCCAGGGCTCGGGAGACAGAAGCAGGTGGGTCTCTGTGAGTTCAAGACCAGCCTGGTCTACAAGAGCTAGTTCCAGCCTCCAAAGCCAGAGAGAAACCCTGTCTCGAAAACAACAACAACAAAAGAAAACTATTTGATTGGGGGTATGCAGGTGGGACAGGAGGCCCTTAAGGCCCTTGTCACCTGATGGGAGGTACTCCTCCCTGTTGTGCTGGCTATCGAATCTCAATCCATGCCTACAGCTAAGCAACATTTGAATACTGAATTACATCCCAGCCCTGGAAAGAGTTTGAATATGACCAGATGAAGACTTGGTATACTATCATAAGAAACCCTAGGTCGCTGAACGGTTGTAGCCCACATCTTTGATTCTAGCACTCAGGAGGCAGAGGCAGGTGGATCTCTGCGAGTTTGGGGCTAGTGTGTTCTACAGAGCGAGTTCCAGGACAACCGAGGCTACACTGGGAAACCCTGTCTTGAAAAACCGAAAGAAAACAGAAAGAAAGAAAGAAAAAAGGAAAGAAAGAAAGGAAGAAAGAAAGAAAGAAAGACGGGGAGAGAGAAAGAAAGGAAAGAGGGAAATCCTGGGTCAAACTTTGAGCTCCTCCTCTTCTGTCACAATGAATCACATAGATAGATCTGGAGAAAATTCACAAGTTTCCAGTTCTGAAAAGATGAGGTGACATCCCTAGCTCATGTATTCTTTTTTTTTTTTTTTGTGGGTTTGGGTCACGTGTTTGTGTGAATTTTGTAAATTTTCTCCAAATCTACGTATCTATGTGGTACATGGTGACAGAAGGGGAGGGGCTCAAAGTATGACCCAGCATTTCTTTCTTTCTTTTTTGGTTTTTCGAGGCCAGCCTGAGCTATATGAGACCCTGTCTCAAAAAAACAAAACGAAAAAAACAAAAGAAAGGTTTTTAGCTAGTAGCTTTCGCCCAGGGGCAAGGGACAGTAAGTTCTCCAGGCAAGATGTGGAATGCCAACCTAAGGGATGGGAAATGCAACGGGCTGGGCACCAGGAGGCGCCCGTCGGACCCGCCCGGGACCTAGCAACCCAGGGTATGCGAGGCGGGAGGTCCCGGGAGCTGTGCGGTTCCTAGGCGCCTTCTGTAGCCACCTCTCTGCGCTCCTCTTCACTGTCCCCTCCGGGTGTGAGCGCCGCGGTGGCGACGGTGGAAGAGAGGCGGGAACCACGGACAGACGGACGGCGGGACGGACGGACGGCGCGGTCGGTCGGTCGTCCCGGCGTGGACTCGGTCAGAGACAGCTGTTCTCTGCGGCGGCCGTGGGGGGCAGCAGAGGGGACCGCGACAGGTGCGGGAGCCCCTCCCAGGGCAGAAGTGGGAAGGCGGGCTCCGGGGTATGTTCCCAGGCTGGAAACCACCCCCGCCCCCCAAACAAATCCCCCCGAGAGGCCGGGCCGGCGCCGGGTCTGCGGGAGGAAGCGGCCGGAGATAGTGCAATTTCACGCGGCCTCCGGGGCTCGGGTTCCCGGGCCGGATACTTGAGTTATGGGGCTTTGCGTACCGGGGAAAGGGAGGTGGCATGGACTCTAGGCTAAAAAACAACCTCCCACTCAGAAAAGTAGAAATATTCACACTCCAAAAGAAAAGAAAAAAACAAACCCCTCAAGTGATCCAACCGGCTAGGGGAGTTGGGTGATTTGGTTAATGGGCGAGGCCATCTTTCAGGGGGCTGGGCTTTGGCGCTCTCCCCACCCGCATCCACTACCTTTCCCCGGCCCGGGGACATTTGGGTTCTTGATGTCTTCTTAGCCATCTCCGGGGGAAATTGCTAGAGTGAGACCCCTCCTTGACCCTCTTGGCCAAGCTGCGGGCTGGCGGGGCGCGCTCCGGGCGGGTGTCCCAGGCTGCAGCCACCGGCGACTCCAGCCTCGCACAGGAGGGGGCGCGGCCGTGACTCACACCCCCATCCCCCTTCCCCTCCCTCCGTCCCTCCTTCCCAGACAGACACCCTCCTCTGCCGTCCCGCTCGGGACTCCGACTCCGGCTCCTGCTGCAGTTTGCAATCTCCGATTGCCGCCACCACCTATGCGCCGGGCTGCTCAGGTGGCTGTCGCTTCGATGTCCTAACCCAGGGGCCCCCGGGCCAGACTCGGCTGGGCTCCCTTCACCCTCCGCTGCAATCATGAGGGCGATTGGGACTCTGCAGGTGCTGGGCTTCCTTCTCAGCCTGACCCGGGGTTCCGAGATGGGCAACTCTCAGGCAGGTAAGCGGCGCGGGGAGCCTCAGCCGGCTGGAAGCGGAGAGCGAGCGCGACCTGAGCGCGCGCAGACCCTGGGCAAGGGGTTCGGGTTCTGGCGCGCTCAAC